CACTATATTAATTTTATATAAAAATGATCATTAAACATAAATATTCATAAATTTCATGTTTCTGATTACATTCCAACCCTATGCTGGATAAGGAGCTGTTGAAGACGGGTGAATGATTGCATTTCATATATTCTGCGAATTATACAGTGTTCGCCTGTAATTGCATATGTGGTTGCCCTCTGCACTGGTATGGATAGGTACTGGGCAAAGTAATTAAAGTTTTTCATTAATGCAGTAGATTGTGAGATTTAAATTTTAATAGAAACTCTAGTTTTCCCTCTTGTCTAAAATGGCAGCATTGCGAACTGTGTAATTTGAGTGTTTAAGTGTATGGTGCACATCCCACCATAAATAATAGCGGAGCTATTATTATAATAGTGGATAAATAGCAGAGCTTAAAAGCCAGAAAATAAACTGCAATCTCAGCTGTAAGATGCCAACGTTCTATGGTACACTCTAGGTGCCCAGTTTGATATTCAGCATCCGTCTTTCATTAGAACCATAGTACCATAAAATTAAACATTTTAATTAGTATTTGCAAAATTGCAATAACCGCTTTCAAATCTTGCTGCACAATTTCACAGGATAGCAGGAGGCTGACGATGCATGGAAAATGACTAGTTAGATACAAAGCAGCCCACACTCATGATCCCCCTCTGACCTGTGTTGCACATTCCTGTCACATCCACTATCAATATTCAGATGCATATTTTATTTATGTATTTATATTTTACATTGCTAGCTAGTTTTTTCTTTACTTAATATTTTTATCTATAGTTAGTGGATACATCCATCCATCCATATACTGTAATTGCTTCTCGTATTCAGCATTGTAGGGGGCCCAGAGCCTGTCCCGGGGGCTACAGCCGCAAGGCAGGGAACAACCCAGGGTGGGGCGCCGACCCATCGCAGGGCACAGTCACCCACCATGCACTCATACAGACCTGGCACACCTGTGGGAAATTTGGTAACTCCAAATAACCTCAGCATGTTTTTGGACTGTGACATGCGAGGCAACAGCGCGAACCACTGCATCACCATACTGCCCCTCTATGGTGGAAATGTATATTTTATGTTCATCTATTGTGACATCTTGTTTTTTTTTTTTTTTTGCAGCATCTGTCACAATGAACAAACTAAGAATTCCGTTGTGTAGACACTGCACATATACTAATATAATACATGAATCTTGAATGTGCTGAAAGTGACTGTGTGCTTGTATTTGCAAATAATACTCCGCAACACAGCACAGGACCAACTCCATCCAACATAAACGTGTGTGACGTACTGGCTGATTTATCACAAACACATTCACCATGTGCCGTGAGCAGCGAGCATACTGAGATGGTGTCACATGACTGATGGTACACCCCTTACTCTAACTTGGGACTAAAAGTTATACAGTGTTAATCACTTGACCAGTTGGATTCATTGAGGTCACCGTTGTGTCCTCACTCATCACGCACCTGGGGGTCAGCGGGACAATTACAATGACAACCGAGAGTCAAAGCGCAAGAATTGTGTTACTTAGTGACAATTACAGCTGTTCACCCAGAAACGACCTGTAGCAGACATGAGAAAAAAACTACCTTATATAAGGGATTAAAGCCAATGCCTTTGGACATTCATGGCGAAAGGACACTGTTTGTTATCTCCTAACAGCAGCCTTGAAGGGGAATGTGCGCAATGCTGAGCTTTGATAGCTTTCCTCTGCAAAAATCCATCCAAATTGGAGGTCAATGCATCAGACATACTTGCATTCTAAACAAAACAGTAGATGCTCCATTGCTCTGTTGGGTCAGGCTTGGTTCACCTCTGACTCTGCGATGTCTGTACATTTACTTTCACAGTACTGGCGGCCAACAGTTATCTGCAGTGGCTATAACTCAAGACTGGCAGCTGGCTGGGTTCTGTCTCTGGGGGTTAGAGGATCTGTGGCGTGACCCTGTGCCCGGGGGAACCTCAGAACCACAGCTACAGCAAGAGAACTCCAAAGTTCAGGAAATATGGGTGGTTTTTGATGTTTTCCACTGTGGAGCGCAGGGCTATAGAGTGAATACCAAGTGACCGTTCAACCCAATGGGAAGGCTTCAACTTTTATGAGCTTTAAAAAGGATAAGTAATAATAGACATGAGATTCGCTCCAAAGTTACGAGGTCAAATGGTAAAAACGCGGATCTGGTAAGCGTCAAGCTCGCCAGCAGCAGACACTCTCGAAGGGTCAGGAAACAAGGTCTTTGAAAAGAAGGGATAGAAGTTTTTATGAGCATGTTCCTCAGCTTCCTTCACTTCTCGTGGGGGGGGGGGGGGGGGTGTCCATGCTCTGTAACTGCACTTCTGAGCACTTTATCGGCCCTAACAGCTGGCGGCGGTGGTGGGCTGTACAATCAGGTCAAACATAGCCTTGAGGATGATACGCAGAACTCAACAAATGTTCTGCCAAACACATTGTTGGTTCAGGACACAACACCAGGAATCAATCTTTCTCTGCCCTCAACATCATCAAATACTAAATATTTGTGGAAAATCATTTCTAGGAAGATTCTGAGGACTTTAGTTTAAGTACAGTAAGACCACACTGCTGATCCTAGCCACACGCACAGCGACTCTTCAAATGCTTTTTCCGCTCGTGAAAAAGAAGAACATAAGAAATAGAAGAGTTGGATAATTGGAAAGCTGGAGAGGACGTGGCATTTGCTATGTCAAAGGGGAGCAGAGTTTCCAGCCTGTAGTACAGTTAGATATGGAAGGAGCAGGAGAGTGTGGACGGCTGGGCAGTTTAAGGGGGGTGTGAATGTACACGCTGCCAAGTCGGGGCAGCTCCTACACAACACCTGGCTCACCCATGTGACTCATCCCCCCCTCCGATAGTAATCACACAGTGCCATGCGGCATGGTGCATAAACTTTTATTTACAATCTAAATTTAAATTTTGTACAAAACACCCCTATTAATGTTCTTGCAAAAAACACAAATGAGCAAGCTTAAAAACATCCAATAGTTATAAAGAATGCAGAAGGTCGGTTTTCTACTCGAAGTTTGGATTCCAAAGAATGCTCTAGAAACAGAATTTTAAAAACAAATCCAGGTTACTATGGAAACTACAGGCTGTTGCATTCTTTTCTGTATCGTATCACGGTATTTTAAGACCATTTAAATAAACTACAGATTATATATCAAAAGGCACACAATACGAGTAAAACTAGGCTTCAGGTTACCAAAACTATAAAGAATATATACATTACAGACAGTCACAAAGCGAACACTATAAGGCTCAGAATCCAATGACCTTTTTTGGGTACTCACATTGATAAGAATTTCCAAAAATGACAATCAAACAGCAATTAAAATACAAAAGTTCACAAAAATATAGTGACAAATAGCTACACTTGTTTCTCTTTTTTAACACTATAAACCAGAAAATGTATATTACATATAAAAAGCAGATAGGTTATCTGAAGAGATGAAAACATTTCACACTTCAGAAGCGACATCTATAAAAACGGGGAGACAAAACAGTAACAAAAGAAACGTTCCCCATGCTGAATGATATCAGGTTGTAGCGATAAGAGCAGATATGCCGATAATAACTGCAGGAGCCGAGGCTGACTGGCAGTCTCTCCCGCCCCAACAGCCCCGACGTGAAGCAGGTCGTCAAAAAGCGGCAGGAACACTTTCACAGCGTCACACAAGGACTGCACACGGTCACGATTCAGGGGAGAGCGACGGCAAACTCGTGCGTTTTTTTTTTTTTTCTCCGTAGGCGGCTTGTTTCACAGAAATGAAAGAATCTCCAACCTCTTCTCATCCGAGTAAAGTCACATTATCAAAGCCCACTATTACAAAAAACCATACATTCTTTCTTTTTGAAATTCTGAAACAATTGGCATTAGACCTTACATATATATATTTTTTTTATTTATTGCACACAAAAAGGTCCAAATGAAGAACACAAATATTTCGGGCACTTATTTCCTTTTACTAAAAGTCTTACAGTATCACCATACAGCAGCATACGAGTGTATAAATAACTTGGTGCTAATATCAGACAAATTTAAAAGTTTTGAAGACAAGTAATTCGACAGCTCATTTCATTTCCCTTGTCTGTCATCTGAATGATGTACAAGTGTTTCGAATGCTTCTTCAGCCAGTAAGCTGCTAGTTGAGCAGAGCCAGCCGGTCTGAATGCATCATCACAACCACAGAGAAAGAAGGCATTGAACTGATGATTCAGAGAGAAATGTCAGGACTCCTTGCCCGCCAGGTTCGTTAATAATGAATGATGGTGGAAATAACATTAAGTACCACCGGAAAGTGTCAGTTTCTGAAGGGTGTACGTGCACCATGTCCCCTTGGGGGGGGGGGGGGGGCTCACAAACGATTGTTCGAAATGGCAGTTTTGCTTAACTTTACTGGACTGACCCGAAACTCTCATCACCCCACTGCATTTGCCTGCTGACAACGCAGGTCCAAGGGTTAGTGTTCATAGCCCACTTGGCAACGCGAGCGGACGTGTATTCGTGTGTACAGCGTATTTATAGACACGTTACGCTTTTTTTTGGTGTGTTTCTCTGGGCTGTGTTCAGTGATACTGGTAACCCCGAGAGTGAACCGAGGTGCGGGGGAGAGTGTTCCTCCGACGGGTGCTGGGAGGGACCCCCTCACTGTCGCTTTGATAAAGGTTCTCTGAGCTGGGGGGCACCTGCTTGGCACTTGAGCACAGTTCAGTCAGGCCATGCCCCCCCCTTAAAGGGAGGGTCGTTCGCATAGAGAGTCGCCTTGACCTTCAGGTGCTATTGTTAGCTTGAAGTTGGCTTCTCTTTAATTGAGATTTTTGGGAGGGAAAGACCCCTGGATAAAGCCCCCCCCCCCGCCAATCCTTGTGTCACACACCAATAAGGAGCATAATACATGATCATGAGCCATGTAAATATAAAGGCTATTTCAAGTTTCACCTAGAAAAAGGTTTTTAAACA